ACAAGAACTGCACAAACGTTTTAATCATTGTTTTTCGTTGTCATCAATTAATTATAGATTTTAACTCAAATCAAATGCTTTTTCTCTATTTTATGTCCTTTTACTTACTATTTGTATGATTTGTTTGCTTTGTAAAAATTAAATCTTAAATTATATATAACTTTGAAGTCAAATTCTGAACAAAAAACTATTGGAAAACAATTTTAATAATTAAAATTAATTTTTCCCCGCTTGGGACGCGATCTCATGTCCCCTTCCTATTGATTAACCTTAACTTAGCCCTAAATAGATTGTTAGTGCAACACTCTAACCGCTACACCACTCTACTCCCCACCACCACCCTTTGCTAAAATAAGCTTTTAAATTATAAAGTTATTTATAATTATTTATTTATAGTTATTTATTTAAATTATTTCAGTCACAATATGAGCCTGTTGCAATTTTCATGCTTACCAATGTTGTCAACAATGAATTTGATTCACATTTAATTAAAAAACACAATTTTAAGTCAAAATTAACTTAAGTGTTAATAGAAATAATGTTCAAAATTGTTATCAAATATCGTATATTTTATGAAGTTCCATTTATTATTAATGTAAACTCTTAAAATAAAAATTTTTGACATACAATAAAATTTGTTTTCATAATTTCTTATATACTCCGATCATTTATATTATACAGTATTATAACTATTGTGGGTTTAAATTAAATTTAAATTTATCGTGAACAAATATTATGTACAATTTATATATATCAAAATATAAAGTAACAAGTTAAATTAAAAATTGGTTTCAGAAAATGTTTACTTATAATATGTATGGTCATAACCAGAGGCGCTTAGCACTGGACACTCAGGGTTATATATTAATAAACTTATTATCAAGTACATAAATTGATACTGGTATTTATAAATAGAAATTAACGACAAAAAGTTAAATATTAAATTGATTTTCATTCACTAAGCCCAGTCTGGTTNTGTATGGTCATAACCAGAGGCGCTTAGCACTGGACACTCAGGGTTATATATTAATAAACTTATTATCAAGTACATAAATTGATACTGGTATTTATAAATAGAAATTAACGACAAAAAGTTAAATATTAAATTGATTTTCATTCACTAAGCCCAGTCTGGTTACGTGTCATTCATATCATTATTATAGAGAATTTCCAATCAATTCAAATTGATTTAAATTTTTTAAAAATTGTGTTTAATTTAAATTTAAGTTTAGTTTAGTTTCACTTTTTTTCGTAACACTGTCTGTAATCCGTATAAAAAAGTTTGTATTCAACCAGTGATTGATTGGTTATCACAAGTGTTGATACTTGGAGTCCACGTGAATCACAGTTGAATATTCCGTGTATATATGGATGGTGACAGTGGCACCACTGACCATGGTAACTCACAAATCAGTACATAAACTCGCGTTCATTCATTTAGCTTAACAGTAAATGTTTTCATTTGTCACATATTCACACAAATTAACTCTTTTCGACGATTTTATCGATAATGTCAATGATTTTATCGATGGCTGGTTTGACGGCACGGATGAGTCGTCCGAATTGGTCGTAATGGTAGGTCTTCTCGACCAAAGACTTGTTGGACGAGTCGGTTCTCGTGGCCAACAGGGCGTCAGTGTTGCCGTAATACGTGAAGTTCGTGACAATGTTGTCGCGAGTGGTGAATGAGGACAGCATACCAAACCTCGACATCTGCAGCCGACACATCCCTCCCTGTGTGGTCTCAATACTGTTCACTTGATTACTATAGTCTCGCAGAATGTATAGCTTATTGCCCGCGGCGTCGGTAACTGAACTCAACTTTCCGTTCAATGTATTGACATTATAGCTGAACGTATAGGTGGTCTGTCCGACCGGCACGGACCGGGTGCTCACGTTCTTGCCGTGTCTGTGGGGGATCTGTACGGTGGGCACGGGTCGGGTGGGCACGGGTCGGGTGCTCACGTGTTGGCCGTGTCTGTTAAACACGTATACCTCGCTGGAAAGGGGCGCCACTATCTCATACTCGCCATTCTGGGCGTTCTGTTCGGGCAGTGGGGACATGACTGTCCGGATGCGGACGTTCTCCTGATCGCACACATGAAGCCTACCGTCTGGTGTGACAGTAATGGCTGAAATGGTGGACATCTTAGCGTTGATGGCCAGCGTGTCTGATGAGTAGCACTCGCACTGGACGTCCATACACGAGCACTTGAGGTCGGCGCCGGCGAATCGCTGGATCTTATTGTCGGCGGCCGTCACCACTCGCACCCTGTTTATGGTCTGAGAGTCGCTTTCGGCGATATAGAGATCACCGTTGGGTCCAAACGCTATCGACTGCGGACTCTCGAGGAATACTTGTCTATAAAACAAAGCATAAAATAAATTAAATTATGACCAAAACTATGATAATAGTCAACACATACGAAGCCAACATCCCGTCTCCCGTCTCGGCATTTGGTACTTCTTCTGGAGTTCCGGTGATAACAGACGAGCAGTGAGAGGGACGGCCGGCCACTACACGCAGACGCCTGTCTTGAGTCAACTTCAGGACCATATGGTTGTCGAGGATATACAACGAGTTATCGATAGGAGAAATGGACAGATGTTTCGGCCACCGGAGCGCCACCTTTTGCAACGGTATAGACCCGGAACAGGGAAGTGGTTTCCAGTGAGTCTTGTGGTGGTGGTCGCCGATCAGGGTATGGATAATGCCGGAGGTGTCGACGTATCGGATGTTTGTGCCGTCGGCCACAAAGATCTCGCCCATGGATGAGATGGCCAGCCCTTTGGGGTACGACAGGCGGGCGTGTCGAGCGAGTCGGCCGTCACCGCAAGCGCTACGATCGCCGGGCAGACACCTGACTCCCGTTCCCACCACTACCTCCAAGTTGTTGCGCGGGTCCGGGATCTTATCAATACTAATGGCGCGTAATATCTGATGCTTCTCCGGGTCCGAGAAATACAACTTTCCGTCAATAGGATGGACGGCTAAGTGGTATTTATAGGCCACAGACGACTCACTCAATTCAATGACCGTCTGAACGGATCCATCGGTTTTGATACGTCTCACGAGATTGAAGTCACCCACATATGTGCTACCATCGGGTGCCGACGCTAGTGATACCGGCGCTAATAGGCGCTGATTTTTGGCGATGCCGTTACAATATGGGCAGTGGAGTGGACGCTGCTGTCCGTCACCCATAGTCGTCACCATGACTTTGGACTTCTGTTTGAGGTATACATTACATCCGTCGCCCTTCTGGAGGATCCCTTCGTGGAAGTTATATCTGTGATGGATATTCAGATTCCAGCCGCCGATCTCCGATATGGGCATATCGTGTCCGGCCAACTGCACCATCTGTACGTCCCATATGGTGTTCCCGCAGCTCGAGTACTGGTAGCCCACGTGCACCATAGCGGTCGCCAAACCGAATACCTTTTGCCGGTAGATATTCCTGCGATTCCAGGCGTAAGTGAAGACAATGGTGGGGTCGGCCTCGAAGGTCTTCTCGAAGAGTATGCCTTCGACGGCGATCTTTAGGTGAACCAAACGGAGTGCCGTCGGGATCTTATCGGGTGTCAGGTGCAGCTCAATGGTTGACAAATAGCCGTTCACTCGCGAGGAATGGTAGACGAGATTGAGGTCAGTGCCGGGTATGCGAAGGGACTCCTGCACGACACGCGACTCATTCAAAAGGGCTGACTGTGTGGCGCACCCGTCCTGAAAGGTGTGGGTCAACACTGTCGGCTTCATTATGTCGAAGTCGTGGTCCATACACATGAGGACCTTCGAGGTGTCGGCGCCGCCCCTGTCGTCGATGGTGAGCTGCACTCTGTCGATGACCACAATCTCATTCCAGGGCACCGTTACTACCCGTTGTGCGGGTCGGAAGGGGTCGCGTTGGAGGTGCAAAGTGACAGCACCGCCACCATTGACCATGAGGTCGAACCAACCGGTGTCTCGCGTGAGGGTAAAGCCTAACATTGGATCCGTGGCCACACCAACACGCACGCCAGTGATACCCTGTCCGCCCTGGTTGACTACCTGTCCCCTTATGACTGACGCCCGGCTTTTAATAGAAATGTAATCCAAAAATTAGTTTAACATCTATTTAATGAACACAATGTTAAGACAATTACGAAAACGGAAACCAAAAATGAAATGAAAACCAAATTGAATGACAAAAGACGACAGAAAACAGACACTAATATACAGTAATGTGTTAATTGATGTGAAACACCGACACAATCACTGACCTGTCGTTGAATCGGTTCCAGAATAGACTTCAAGTGTTAGACAATTAAGAGATTAGAGAAGATATTTGTGATTAAATTCATAGTAAAGGGTGTTATTCGTAGTGAGTATAGAGTTGGAAAGGGATGGCAGCGAGTGGTGTGAGTAAGTAGTAAGCAATCGTATCGCTCACGAGGAATACAAATGAATGTCTCTTATGGTTACCTGACGTTAAACGCACTCTTGTGGGCATAGCTCTGAACGGACTCCTCTTCGATGAGGAACTGCATCCTCTGGAAGAAGGAGGCGGTGACCGCCGGGGGCTGTTTACGGAGTAGGATGTCCTGGGGGTCCGACGCCGAAAAGCACAGTTGTTTGCCTTCGCACTGTTTGTTGGAACAACACTCCGGGTCCGCGCAGTCGACCAGTCCGTCTGTCGAGGCGTTGAGATAATACAAGACATGAATTAATAGATCCAGAAATTGGTGAAGACTGTGGTGACAAACCGTTGTCGTTATCCTTGCCATCATCGCAGATATTCTCGAGCGGAACACTACAGTCCTGTCCGCCCCAATCGGACGCACACTCGCACTGCCACTCCCCTTGCTTTTGGCTACAGTCCCCGTGACTGTTGCACGACTTCGGACAGCCATCTGATCCGACAAATCAGTTATTATTTGATAATTAAATGACAAAAACACAATATAACGTTACCTAAAGTGCAATGTTTGCCATTCCAGCCCTGTATGCACAGGCAGGTGCCGTTTTTGCAGTGTCCGTGCTCTAGACACCGGGGATCGCACAGTCTGTCCGCGCATTTTTTGCCTGTCCAGCCGTCAGCGCACAGACACTCACCGCCCTGACAGTGACCGTTAGTACCGCAATCCAGATCACAGCGCTCTGTAGTGGACAGCCGTTTAGACACAAACATTTCATACAAAATCTCATTTTATGGCAAACCTTGTAAACAGTCGGGTCCGGTATGTCTATCGTCGCAAATACACTGTTGGAGCTGTAGGTCAAAGGCTCCGTGTCCGGAGCAGTCGGGCAGACACCTGATGGCTTCGGAGTCGGGTTCAGCACATCCGGCGCCCTTCCAGCCCCTACCGCACAGACACATACCGGCCACGCAATGGCCGTGTCCTGAACAATCCGGGTCTAAACAGTCCACTATATAACACACAAATAAGGTTAATAAGCGATTGACGCGAGTGGACAGGGATGTGCGACATACCATCCTCGCAGTGTTTGCCTTTATATCCGGGAAAGCAGTGACAGTTGCCGTCCACACAGTCTCCGTGTCCGTTGCAGTCGTTCACTTCGCACTCGTCCTCCCGGAGCTGACACTCCTTCCCCTTCCAACGGGAAGTGCACTGACACTCACCGTTCGCATACTGGCCGCGACCCGAGCACAGGACGGGACAGACCCCTGAAAAAACAGACACAAAATATTTTATAACAAACTAAAACCAATTCTTGTTTGTCATATGCTGTGAGAAATAAATATATTGTTTTGGTATATGAATTAGAGCTCAAAAATAACATTGAAATACAATACATGTATGAATGCAATGCAAGTCTGTATAATAAAGTAAAGAATTTGTCTGAAAAGCTGCACTTTTTTCTCGGCAAACGATATTATCATCGAGACTTCAACTCATGTGAAAAATAACAAATGACTCCAGTTTTGAGTGTCATTTCATTTCAATGCAACATACAGTCGAGTAAAACACAATATAATTATTATACAAATAATAATATATTATTTTCATATCATAGGAAGTTGCACAGAATATTGTGCAGTGCAAACAAATAGCATATTGTAATGGAGTTAAGTTTATTATAAATTCAATATCAATGGCAATCAGGTTTATTGTGTTTAAAAATAACTATGACTTCAATTCCAGGCAACAATTCTCGTTGCGATTAAACTTTTTTGTAATTTATTATTATGTGACAGAAATATTAATAATAAAATAAGTTTTAATAAATTTAACTAAATATTTTTATTATTATTCATTTTTACAATTTTATCAATATTTCAGAATATTCCTAATAAATATTAGATTTTAATATTTATGTATTTTTATTAACAACAGCACATGTATAGCAGAATCTTGTTATGAATAAAATTGATTTTTCAGATGAAGCAATAGATGTTTAGACCTGAAAGGCCAGTCCTCTTATACTGTAAATGCCAACTAAAGGTATAGAAAAATTGTATTATATTGCAAAAAAATGATCAATCATTTGATATATAACTCATACATTTGATTAAATTCTTTTAATCTTGTAATTTAAATTCATTGCTGACTTTATATTGGAGTTGACATTAAAAAGCTTTCATATGACTGCAATTTATTTTAATCTATTGATTGATTGATAACAAACAGCGATACAGAAGTGGATTTAATTTTCAAGTATAAATAAAATTGATTTTAAACATAAGATAAAACAAATATAAGTCATTCGTTTTGATTCATCGATAGTTTCAATGAAAGCTTTTAAACATCAAAACGACTCGTTAATTAAATTTGAAATTTAATACGAATTCGAGTCAAACAAAATTAATTTCCTTTTTCTCATATTTTGTAATCCAATAAATTGTGGGACAAACGGAAATTATAACCAATTGTTGTTATTAAGGAGTGGTCATAGAGTTTTGAAAGCAATAGATTTATCAGATATAAAAAAAGTCCAAATTTCAATCGATATAAACATTATTATTATTTCCAATATAAGGTAATTGAGATAATGGACAACTCTATAAATGAAAATTCCAACCATTCTTATATTTAAACCCTGGTTATTTATTGAACCCTATCCGGTTTGGTCTTCATTATCCTGAAATTTGATCCATTATTTAAAACCTTTATATTGGGATTCAGACCACAATTTTGTAATAGAGAAACTTAACCACAAATTGATGTTTTAAGAGCCTATTATGAGATAACAAGTTATCAATAATGGATTTAATAATTTCTCCATTAATATTAATTAGAAACAATCTAATTAATGATTAATTAATGAGGAATATTATGCATATATTTTATATGGAACACTGTATAAAAGTAATTTATATAAATATTGTATAATATTTCCAATTGCAACTATATAATACTATCCTAAAGCAACTTCTAACATTAAATCTGACAAATTTAACAAAAAATGCTTATATTTAGTTCAAAATTTACAAATGATTTATCACAGATATAAAGGCAGATTATTAGATTAGATTATTAAATCTAATTTAGTGTCACAATTATTAACTAATTACTTATTAAATGCAGCAAAACCTCACATTTATTAAGTTGAGACTTTAAGACCTAAGTTCATTGATTTTTACTTTTTGTTTTATTATTTATACGTTCTTTCATTTAAATATTATATATCTTACACTTAATTTAATATCAACTCAAATAATTAGGTATAATTTTCTGCCAATAATGAGAGAGAGAGAGAGAGAGAGAGAGAGAGAGTGAGAGTGAGAGAGAGATAGTTTTACTTGTAACTGTGACGTTCACTATATGACATGACATAAATGTTATGTGATTTATATCCTTATCACCTCAGTAATAATTAATTTAAGGATTTGTCAACCGATAGTTAGTTTATATACGGTTTGTGACAAAAAATAGTCTTTTATGTAATGAAACGACAGAATATTATTCACTCTTTACTCGACTGATTGACTCCTAAATACAATAAACGGAAGGTTTAACGACTCATTTCATAATTGTTTATAAAAGTGAGGATTAGTTTTACTATTATTTTCTTTTCAATTTACAATTGAAAATAAACTTACTTTAGATTTATTGTTGTTTGAGATTATTTGGAAAAAATAAAATTAAAATTTTTATATTAAACAAACACCCATTTAAATGCATTCAAACATACAGTGATTTTCGCAAAACTCCGAAAACCAGAATCCATTGTCTCGTTTGAAAATATTGGACATTAAATAAAAAATTTATTTTTATTTTCGGAATATTATGAATGAGATGAGAGACAAAACTTTTATTTCCGGGATTTTATGACATTTTTGGGAGACAATGTTTGCAAATCAAAACATTAATAATTCATAAAATTAGAAATGAGAAAAAAGAAAATCAAAATCAAAACATGGATTGCGTGACACTTCAAAGGAGTACACATAATGTTATTGTGAACTCTCGTTATTACGGCTATAATACAGACATTATTTGTATATAAAGTACATGTTATGAACAATTAAATTA